AATACCATCAATCCTGTCAGTCACACCACATATATCCACCCTGAAAATCAAACAGGACACCTGTTGACCAGTTTGTCTGAAAAATGGCAGAAAATACTGGAAAAAAAACCCAAAATATTCACCTTACAGTCATGTGTGGCAAAGAAAAGCATCTAATTTGCTGTTCGGTGAAATTTCTATGAAATGGTTTATCTTTTTAGCTGAAAAATGGGCAAAAATGGTGAAAAATGGTGGTTATAATTTCACAGGAGGTCTTGTTTTGTCAAAGAAAAGATAAATTTTGCAGTCATGTGTGACAAAAAAGCATAAAATCTGTAGCTCTGCTATATTTCTATAAAATAATTCAGAATTTTGTTTTTAAAATGCCAGAAAATAGTAAAGATGCTGCTTATAGTTTCACAGAAGGTCTCGTTTTGTCAAAAGTAATATTTACTTTACTGTCAAATCAGCAGCTCTGTGATATTTCTATGAAAAGATTCATCATTTTAGCTGCAAAATAGACAAAAATGGTGAAAAATGCTGGTTATGCTCTCACAGGAGGTCTTGTTTTGTCAAAAAATATTGATTTTGCCATCATGCGTGACCAAAAAAAGCGTAAAATCTGCAGCTCTTTCTATTAAATAATTTATCATTTTGTCTTTAAAATGCCAGAAAATAGTAAAGATGCTGCTCATAGTTTCACAGAAGGTCTCGTTTTGTCAAAAGTAATATTAACTTTACTGTGAAATCAGCAGCTCTGTGATGTTTCTATTGAATGATTCGTCATTTTAACTGAAAAAATGCCAGAAAATATGAAAACGTGCCAATTTGAATTTTTCAATAAGTCTTGTTTTATCCAAGAAATCCCAAAATATTAACTTAACAGTCGTGTGTGATAAAGAAAAGCATCAAATCTGCAGCTCTGTGATATTTGTATAATGTGATGAATCTTTTTATCTGAAAAATGACAGAAAATACTAAAAAAAAAAAAAGCAGATTATAATTGCACATTAAATCCTGTTCTGTCTCCCCAACATGCGATATGTTCCTTAACAGTCATGTGTGGAAAAAAAAAAAAAAAAACAGCATAAAATCTGCAGCTTTGTGAAATTTCTAATAAATGATGAATTAATTGATCTGCAAAAAATATATAAATACATAAAAAATTGCAGATTATAATTTCACAGCAAGTATTGTTTGCTTTAAAAAAAAATACTGTCATGTATGACAATAAAAACATAAAATCAGCAGCTTTGTGGAATTTCTATTTAAAAAAATAAATGTAAAAAATGTGTAAAATGACATAATTTCACAGTAAGATTTTTGTTTTTAAAAAAAAATAACCCCAAAATATTCATTTACGGCCATGTGTGACAAAGAAAAGCATCAAATCTGCAGCTTTCTGTTAATTAATTCATCATTTTGTCTTTAAAAGGGAAAAAAAAGAAGTGAAAAGTGCGGATATACTTTCACAGTTAGTTGTGTTTTGTCAAAAAAAATACTGAAAAAGCATCAAATATGCAGCTTTGTGACACTTCTATTAAATGATTCATCATTTTGTCTACAAAAAATAATAAATAAAAATAACAAAATTTACAGATTATGATCTCACAGGAAGTGTTGTTAAAGAAAAACAATCCAGATATTCAGAAAGAAAAGCATCAGATCTGCCTCATTGTGAGATTTCAATTCATTTCTATGCAAAACATCAGAAAACATTGTACATTTCTCGTTATAATTTTCACTTCAGCATCATGTTTGAAAAGAAAAGCATCAAAACTTTGTATCTGAGGCGACAGAATTGGTGAATGTTTGACCTTTTTTGCTTAAAGTGACAGAAACAATGAGTCACTGATGGATGAAGAGGTGCAGCAGGAAGTCATGTTACGTGGCTGCTGAAGTGTTCTGTGTGCAGGTGGTCTTCCTGGCGTCAGAGGGGAAGCTGGCTTTATCTGCAGTGGCCATCATGTCAGACGTCTCTGATGTGAGCAGCTCTCCGGCTCCGTCCTGGCAGGAAGGCAGAGCGGTGGTGGTGGTGGCGGCCGGGTCCCCGTGGCTGGAGCTGGACTTGTGGGAGGAGCAGGGGGAGTTGGTGGGGCTGAGCTGGACGGCCGTGGTGTCCTGCAGGGTGTGTTCGCTCGTCTCCATCTCGAAAGCCGCCGTCCCCATCCTCATCAGCCCCCACTTCTCGCCCCCTTTGGCCCGGCTGGCCATGTGGGCCGGGGGCCTCCTGCTGACCACGCAGCAGGCCGTGAAGAAGGCCAGCGCCACCAGCAGGAGGAGCGGCCCGATGATGATGGGGGGGTTGGCGGTGGGGATGAAGGTGCTGAAGGCGAAAGCCCCCACCAGGGTGATGTTGATGCCGGCCAGCATGATGCAGAGGCCGCAGGCGCAGCAGAGGGCCGGGGAGGGCAGGTTCTGGTGCCGCAGGGCCCGCTGCTCCTGGAGCTTCTTGGGAGCAGAAGTTCTGGAGGGTTTTTCTGGGAGAACCATGACTCATGGAGAGCTCGGATCAGAGAGAGATGATGAAGAGGAGGCTGGAGAGGAAGAGCCAACGTGACATTTTAGAAGCTGTAA